CGTTTCAACCTCACTGAGCATACTACTTGTCCGAATCGATAGTAGTATAGTGCCTTGTTATTTGTTCTAAAATTATGTCTTTGAGGAATATCTTTGCAAGAAAGTGTATACTGCGTAGGTTTAAAAACAGTTCGGATGAAAGTAGGTATGAAAGGATGAGGTAAGAAAGAAATTATTGTTTATCCTGCTGCACTTCGCTTACGTTGGTGCATGCACTAAGGTTCCAGTTAATATACAAAGTGCGTTCTTCGATTCTCTTAGAGCGAATCTGGCTGTGATGAGAATACGAGACCTGAAAGATATCATCGGAAGGAGACAATGTTACCTGAAGATACTTTGCTTTGTCGAGCTCGTGATCCTAACGATTGCCACTATTCTTGGTACATAGTTTACTACTGATGTGAACCTTCTTCAGGAAACAGTTGACATCAACAAGAACGAAGCGGCGATTCAACACCAATATGTGCTTCGATACGTGTAGACTTTGCTGTCCTGATTCGTCATCATAACTATCTATCAATAGGGTATCAACCCAAAGCTTGGGACTTAATATGAGTGGATTTCCACGTACACGTCAGGAGTAAATCCGCTGTCTTTGTGTTTAACAGGTTTCTTTAAGGCGTCATTTGTAAGCTCCATCACTATTAGTTAAACTACCATTCCTCTCAACGGTTTACCACCTCATCGTGGCTGGGAGGTGCCTTGGGTGTCGGACTGCGATGTCCAGCGGGGGGATTCGTCTCCCCGGCAGGGTCTCTCAGGCTGAGAAAGAGTCCGTTGTTTCCATCAGGAAGCCTAGCTAAGAGTAAACTATTACCAAGATCCACCACCGTCCTGGTATCAAAGTCGCTTGTTGGCAAATCACCCTCTAATCCACAAAGAGTGCGACTGCTCGTGGTGGTGAAGACTTGGGGCAGACTTTGGCCAGGCTAACCTCGGAATTCCAGGGAACAACGATGGATAACCAGCAAATCTTTAAAAAATGGTGATTGTCCAGTGAGGACGGGCCGTCCAAGTAGCAGCTGTGAAGCATCAAGTACAATTCCACATCTGGAGGTGTCTTAACTAGACAACATTGTGATCATTTATGTCTAGCCGTTTTCACTGCATAATTTCTCTACTGCTCCCGACGGTTTACCGTGTCATCGTGGTTGGGAGGTGCACCTGGATGTGAGGCTGCAATGTACCGCGGAAGTTCATTCCCTATCAGGATCTCCCAAGCTGAAAATAACGGCGTTTCCGTTCGGAGGCCCAGCTGAGAGTAAATCAGAACCAGGAATCACCATGGTCCTGGTATCAAACTTATCCCATAGTGGCAAACTTCTATAATCTATGAAAGCGGTAAATGCCTGGAATAGTGACAACATGATGAGCGCTACGTCATGATTGGCCTTGGGACTTCAGGGAACCACCATGGTGAAGCCAGCAATGTCCGGATTGAAAGTTATAGTGGGTCCCGCACAATCAATTAAGGCGTGCCATCCAAGTAATTCTAGTAATTAAGTAAGTTAGATGAATGCTGGCAAAATTGAAATGATACAATGTATTGTGTTTGCTTCTTACCAAGACTTGAGACCGAAGAATATGGCATGCAGACTAGATCGGAAGTGGATTATTCAAGCTTTCTAATCAAACTTTTGCAATAATTGGTTTCGCAGTCCTTTACAGCAGTTGTGATCAGTAGTAATCCCTTCAATCGTTTACGGCTCCATTGTGGTTGAAGGTATTCTTGCGTGCTTTCAAGTAATTCAACCTTTCATCTTTGAATTGTGTCAGTTCGTGGGACTACTTTGGATAAAAGTCATTGGAATCTGGAAATCTTTGGAAAGAGTTCAGTTTATCATTCTACTAAAAAGAATCCTTACTAACCAGATCTCATAAAGCGTTGTCTCTTCGTAAACCTAGTTTCTTAATTTGACCACAAATTGATTGAACAAACGAGATTTCCTGGGATCAAGCGGTAGTGTTCCATAACATATCCTTGAAGTTTTCTTCTTCGGTATTTTGATGGTTTGAATTTCAAATGAAGATTAAAACATTGCGTGGAAGTCGGATATACTATTAGAGCAACAGTCTTTTTCCTTTTTATCCTTTATAAGTAGAAGCCAGCACTATCTGCTATGTCTTAAGCACATCGAAATAGATTTTAGCCTACTGGATTGCTATTTCGTGTCTAATCATAATAATGGGTCATGAACTGACAGTACAGTAGTGGCCGGGGGACGAGAACTGGGGTCGAATTTTAGACATGAAACCACTGGCAAGGCTTGGTGTCAGTCGCTGCCGCATTGCCAACCCTCTCATTTGTGCACGAAATTTTCCGGACCATCTGAAGAGCAACTAGTTCGGACACTTCCTTAAGATGGCTATGAGCTGCTGAATGCTGAATCGAGAAACCATACATTCTCATTACTCCGTGTTGCACAAGAAGGTCGCGGATGGTTTGCACAGTGGTGTCATTTCTCATGCAACCTCCATGCGATCCTAGGCGCAGTTTTTAAGAAATGGGATGCGCTGGAGAAATTTGGAGCCAATCCTAAAAGCGGACGCGTGCTGTCAGGACGGACAAGTGATGCCACCTAACACGGTGACCACTAACTTTTCTGACCGTTATAGACGTTAGTTTGACTTTTGGATCTTTCTTAAACAACGTTTATTTGTTTTATTGAACATGATGTATGCCACTGCTTTAGTAGATTTTCTACTTTTCTGCGTAAGACTAACTTAGCATTAAACCTAATAGGGTTGCAAATCCATACTGATCCAGCTATCATCCGCTTCCAAAGGTGGCCCTCCAAATATTGAACGGAGTACTTCTCTGTAGGCTAAACCACCACTTATCTAATTTTTTGCAGAAATAAAATGTCAATTTCATAGGTAACACTAGTGTGAATAGTACATCTCAGTATTTTCAGCTTCCTTCTTGGTTGGTGCAGTGTCGTTGCAGCACTCTCTAGCCACTCTGTATCCCAAAACGGACGACAACTTACTCCTTAACATGGTCGCAGACTCTCCCTTAGAACTCCGAACTCGCAGACTCTCCCTCGGGACGCCGGACTCGCAGACTCTACCTCAGGACTCCGGATTCGGGTCTGGATAACGTACGTTGTGGCAGATGGTGCAGGTACAGACGGTGCAACAGTAGTACGTCGATTGTATCTGGGTCACGTTTGTTGTTGCTTCATCAATCAGACATCTTTCTGTCGTTTCCTGGGTTAGCTTTGTTTTCTAATCCGTACCATTAGGTTTTTGGCTCGTTATTGGTTTGACAACCTATTTTTAAAGGTGTCTCACCCTCATTGAAAATGGGGAACTGTTTTGTTAAGACGATCTGTGTTAAAGAATAGCATTCCCACATGAATCCACATGACACTGCCATTGTAATGGAATAGTGGTTGCTTTTTTATGGTTTTATTTCAGCGTTTTTTTTATCAGGAAAACAATTTTTGCCACTTTTTTCAACTCATAACGTTGGTTCTTCTTTGTTTCTGGAACTTGCCAATTTTGCTTTATTGAAATGATTGAATTTTCAATTAAATTTGCTGGTTTTTACAGTTTGAATATCTATTTGCTAGGTGTTGTGGGCGTGCAGTTTATCAGCGTTAAACAACATTTTGCAACTATCATAGAAGTAAAGAATGAAGCTTTCGCCGTTGAGCAATCTCTAAAGCATCGTTGGAGGTGATTGAATGCATATCTGGCCTTTACAATGATTCGCAGTGACTTACTGATGTATCGACCCAGTGTTGCTATACTCCCAGACTAGTCTGGTACCAATTTGCCAACCCCAGAGGGATGGACAGCTTGGGCCACGGGCGCAATGATCGATCCCATGTGTATTTCAGGGCACCTTCGACTACTACGCCACATGCGTTTTTTGCAGTTACCTTTCATTCACCTCCAACGATGCAACCACCATAGTGCTTCAGTATTTGTTCACCGTATTTGTCCACTACGTTGCTGTCGACGAAGGTTAAGGAGCTCACTCTGTCTCCTGCCTCATACATGAGGCTGGAACGATTGTGGTACTTTGTACTGTAGATGTTACACATTACTTACTTGGATAATTAGGTGGCCAATCTTCACTGGTTGTGCGGACCTGAGTATAATTTTCATTTTTTCGGTTTTGCTGATTTAGCCATTGTGGTTCACTGGAATTCTGAGGTCAGGGTGGCCAAAGTCTGCCCCAGGTCGTCACCACCGCAGGCAGTCGCCGCGCTTGTGGATCGAAGGGAGATTTGCTACCATGTGACTAGTTTGGTACCAGGATCGTGGTGGATCCTGGTACTTGTTTACTCTTAGCTGGACTTCGTGTTGGAAACGCCGGTCTCCTTATCAGCTTTGGAGACCCTACCTTAGGTACGAATCCACCCGGTGTACATCGCAGCCCGACACCAAGGAACACTTCCCAGCCGCGATGAGGCGGTAAACCGTTAGAAATGTTATTACATATTACTGTGATTATAAGGAGGGTTCATATTACATGTGATTCAATTTGCATCAGAAGTCTCATTCGTGGTATGACTGGATGAATAAGGCATTGCCTAGCTAAATTCCAATGTTCTATACTACTCCATTTGTTAAATTGTAGTATTTCGGTAAGTTCCGGTCACAGTCATTTGACATGTATGCTATCCTTCCAGTGGTAACAAAATCAAACTGTACATTCATACCGTCTTACCTAAATGTTTCTTACTGCGGGACAACATGCTTAGGAAAAATACCGACTTTGTCGAAATGCATACAGTTTTCATTCTGCTCTCCGGGCATCAATGATGTTGGAATGTGTCTTACTTGCTATCAAGTTTGGCAGCATAGTTGAGTGTAAGAAGTTCAGGCTGAGCAGACTGTCTCCATATTTTCTGGTGACTATGGAATTGTCTTGTATTTACTTGCTTGACTACAGTTCAACGTTCTTTGTAATAACACACATCGAATTTACTGGTGATCTAAGCGAATCGTTTCATCGAATTGGCCGTTAGTTCATTAGTCGTAAAGCAATGCTTTTTAGAGAATCAGCACGTACTCAAACACTCCTGAATGGGTTTAATCTGGAAGTGATTCGCGAAAACACTCATAAAAGTATGATCCATATAAACGTGGCGGATACACAGACTCTTGTCGAGAAATCCGATGGAGTGACCAAGTACACGGTATGTGTTTTTGCTGTTTCCACTGTATTTATAATGCAGTTCTCTTTGGATTAGGCTTACAACATCTACGTCAACGGATCGTTCCATGCAGCTGTTCGATTTAGTCGATTAATTCAGTTTGCTGAAGCGATTAAGCAGCGGTGACTTTTGAATTGCTTTCAATTCGTTGTGTGAATTTAATTCATACTTCGTACTCGCTGGATGTTGCTAAGGTTTCGTCGAGTTTCAGATTTGCCACGAAGAACCACCTTATGCTGCGTTTTCCTTCGAAGCAGTGGTTCCCACTCGATGAAAAGGGTATAGAACAGCGTAGGATCAAAATATCAAAATACTTTAATTTACGTACGTTTACTTTCCCACCTTTTTGGTTCACTAGTTAGAAATCAAGGAAATCAGCAAGGCATACTACATGTTTTTAGTTGCTCAGTCACCTGATATTGTCCGGAGTCTATTCGTTGAGAGGTGTTTTCTAGAATTTCAAATTGTGAGTTCTTTTGTCTTTTACAATCCTATTCTTCATCGAGATATTCTTCACAGCTTTTTTATTTATTTGAAAAGCGGAAGATCATTCAGTCTTACTGTTTACTTGCTCTGCAACAATAAAAAACATTAGTTCTTTTTTTTCTTAGAAAATGACAATATTGTAGTCCGTTTCCTTGAAACCAGCGGATTTTATTTAAAGCTTTCTATTTGTGCAATACATATGGTGGGTATTCTCGAAGTTCCTGTGGCAAATTTTCATGCTTGTTTTCTTCCGAACAAGCTTTAGTATTTCTATTGGTCTTGATATATGAATCTTGTTCAAAAACCGTTGACAGTTTGCAAGAAAAGATGGATTGAGGTTCGACGAAATACTGAGTTTGTTTTGTTTTCAATGAATTCTTTAGCTCTTCCAACGGCTTACCGCCTCATCGTGGCTGGGAGGTGTTCATGAGTGTCGTGCTGCGATGTTCAGCGACGGGATTCATCCTCCCAGCTGAGTCTCTCATGCTGAGAGGCAGTCCAGCGTTTCCATTAGGAAGCTTAGCTAAGGGTGAGCCAATACCAGAATCCACCACCATCCTGATATGAAACTACTCGCATGGTTTCCAAACTTCCTTTGACCCACAAGGGCGGAGACTGTCTGTGGTGATGTCGACCTGGGGCGGACTTTGGCCAGGTTAACCTCGGGACTACAGTGAAATACAATAGCTGTAACATCACTACCATTTCCATGTGATTTCTGTGCGGTTGGTCTCTACGTGACATACTTAGTGGAAACCTCATATGAAGCGGCTCTGAGGAAGGCGAAATCCGCCGAAACGTCAGCTTAATCGTGAACAAAGAATAATAACACCTCGCGTTTGCTCAACAAAAATACGAAGAAAATTACTTGATCAATGCCGAGATTAATAGAAAGTCGGTCGTGGCAGTTATAGCTGTAACAGTTAAACTCCAAAAAATGGAGAATATGTTGTGCCCGCACAACTAGTGAGGACTGGCTGTGCAGGTATCCAAATAACTAAGGATTCTTTAGTTATGTTGAAAGTGCCATTCGAGGCTACTAATTTAACAATTAGTGTTCGAGGTTGGGTGTTCGCACACAATGATCTGGATAACTAGAATACTTGAGTAGTTGAGGACGTGATGTGCTTATAGAACAGGCTTTGTTCTATCCAGCTGAGTGTAAATATTATTTTAGGCTGCTGTCTGGTTTTTTAAAGTTGTTCAGAAGCTGAAATTTTATTTTCAATGAAAGTGAAACTTAAATCTTTAAAATTCCAAACGGAATCCCGGAGTCAATGAACAGCAACGCATGTGGGGACAGCATCGTGTTCTCGAAATACTGCTTGTTCAATTGTTTTCGTTTCCGAAATGCGAACTTTTACGCCATAGACAAAGATCCATAGATTTCAATACTTTCAGGGAATTCGTAAAGTCCATTTCTTCTGATATTTGTTATTTTAACTTCAAAAGCGGGGGTCAGTTTCACACCCTGTGAGTGTAAATAAGCCCACATCAGTCCTCAAATGTCTAAAGTTGAGGCGAACCCAACGCAGTTTCATGGTTCTCTGAGGAGAGGTTCCTAGTCTTTGATTAGTTATTTCCGAAAACAGGACATGTTGGTAGTTTTTTTAAATATATTTGACCCTCTCGTAGCAAGTAACTTGTTTCTCCATTTTAACGATTATTGGCTCTGTCTCCTAGCTTATAATTGAGTTGCTCCTTCGCTCGGACCGACGGTGGCCGGAGACATTGAGAAGGGATTTCACTACGGAAACGTTAAGTAAACATCTCTTAGTAAGATGTTCAGTGTATCCCGTGCCACCGAGAAATCACCCTATCTATTAGCAATATTGTCTTCCAAAAATATGGATTTCATGGAGAAGAAGGCTGTAAATATTAAACCTAGCAGCACGCACTATATTCTTTGAGTGCAATTTTCCGGATTTGTACACCTTCTTTGTGTTATTTTCTTTCTAATGTACCGGCTTCTTGCAAGAATCTGTTTAGAAAAACGATCTTCGAATGGTCCTCTCCTCTTGTTAGCCACAGGTTAGCTGCATATATTGATGAGTAGATTATATTTTTTGAGTTGCATCTTGTAAATGGGAAATGTTTAGGGCAGTAAGATGTCGCGGTTATTCCACTTACAGGTATTATCGGATGCTGTATATGCACATTATGGATTTTCTCGGCGCTTGCTTTTAGCTTACCAACAAGTTTTCTGGTGTGAGAATGAATGTGTCACTTTGGCATACCACCAGAGATCTCCGACAAAACCCGAGACTTTATTGCTTCTTATCAATTTTTGAATGAGGCCCATTCTTTTTACTGTGTTTAGCATTTTTTGTTACCCACGTATAGCTTGTTGGGCTCTGAACGTGTGGGCTATGTATACTCACGGGTAGCTTGCCAAGCTCTCCCAGAGTGGACATGAAGCTTACTATTTGGAGGCGACTCCTAGTCGCCTCCCATGTACTTCCCAGTTACTTGATTTCGGGCTTTTGCCCGAATTGACTCGTAGAATATAATCCGCACAAGCAAGTATGCACCCACACACGCATGCATGAATACGCCTAGCAAATACAGAAAGTATGTGCCAAATCAGCGCAGCAGAAACAGGGAGTCCATTCCCTGGTTCCATCTGCATCTCAGGGAAGCGAAGGTCGCTTTTGGTTGGCGATTAACCCCTATTCGCCACCTGGGGACGCGCCACGTAGCCTCGCGACTAACCGGCTCGAGATCCCTCTTATGAAGGAGATCAATTTTTACCGCTGCTGTTGTTCTGTAATTCTGAATATTCACTGGAAAATCCCAGTCTGTCACCGCATCCAATCTTTGTGGATTGTGCCATCAATTCAGCTTTTCTGTGTACACAGTTACGAGGTTCTTATTCGAAAGCTTTAATATACTAAACACATTATCGACATTGTGAATTGATATATGGCCAAAAAATAACTATCCGTTCGAACTTTAACACCGCGCAACGCCTTGACCACTATAAGAGTTATACTCATTAAGCAGTATGGTCAATATAGCTTCTATAGAAGTTCTTTTTTCCAGTGGTTTATTTTCGGTATATAGAATTTTTCCCTGCTCTTCTTATGACAAGTAAGTAGCTTGATCAACATATATATATATATATATATATATATTCAACATATATGTAGCCACCGTCGTCTTTGGAGTGCAACTCTCTACTCTTACTGTTTTACAAAAAACCTTTTTTAGACGAGTTCTTTGTTCAGTAATTTGAATGGTATGTCAACTCCATTCAGAAAGATGTATTATGGTAGTCGTATGGGATAGCCTGGTGTAAAAAAGACAGAGATGAACTCGAAAAAGCTACAAATATAGTTCTAGTGGCTGACAATGTGCTTGTATGGTGGGCCACAGTAAAATACAGTTAATGCTCACATATATATATATATATGCATACATGTAAACATATGTATATATGTGTGTATATATATTTGTACCAGTAGAGGGGCGGGTAGCACAGTGGATGTGATGCTGGTCACCACGAGCATGGTGCTTGTTTGATTGCTCTCCGGGCCAAGCCAAGCCCGTCATCTCTCCAAAGTCGGTAAATTGACACCAGACTTGTTCGGGAAAAATCACTCTCTGCGATTCAATTAGGAACACTCTAGCGATCTCAGGACTCCAGAGAGAATCGACTCGACCGGCATTCTACAAAATTCAAGATGGAGTGAAAATCCTCAAACAGCATCCGAAGCCACGGGTAAAAGTTGGAGGATCTTCGTGGATTATGGATGCGAGGAAAGGAATCGAATGTGAGAAGCACTGGTTCCGCACAGTAGACGTGAAGACGGGTCATATAAAATATGAAAAAAACTTGTAGCAGTACATCTCTTGAATGGTAGAAAAAGTCTCTTCTGTAATACTATCATGTTCTCATTCCCTTAACTGCTCTAGTTGTCAAGAAATATCAGTAGTTTTCGATAATGTAAACAAACTATTGCAAATGTGGTAAAAAGTATTACAGTTTCACTTAATATTTGGTACCGAAGTGTGTCAACTTGCTGACGCAAAGTCAAACTTGCATTATGTCAGTCGTCGATTACACCGTGGTTCTATTCGAGTTCTTTACAGGAATCATACCCTGAGACGAGTACGAATATATCACTCAATGTTTTCTTGGGTGATGGTTACAAGATTGGTATGAAATGCGCCTTATCTCTATGTACAGATGATGTTATGAAGGTTGTTTTCAGTCCTAGAACTCCTTTTTGTTCCTTAAATATACTCGCTTTTCAGAAAATTGCTCAACAGCTACAGATAGATAACTCTGAACGGTTTCTTCAAATGTTTGGTATGTTTTTGGCGCGTCCACGCGACGATTCCAATAACCTTGTTGACGGTCAATTCAATATGCTCGGTTAGTCGTCGTCGTTAACTTTCCGTTCCCACTCACATGAAATAGCAGTTCTTGGTACTTTTCATTACTTATAGTTGTACGATTACTGCGTAACTTCGAATCGCCATATGCCACCCTTCAAACTGCCAATCGCCAATCGGCTGTCCACGGAGTATGTTATAAACTCGTCATAAGGTACATCGAGCAGAACACTAATCAATTAGTTTTCTTGCCATTTGTATCCACTTTTCCTTTCAGGAAGATGATATGGGATCCACGAGTAGAGGAAACATTATTGTGTGATGCAGTGTTTGTTGATTTATTATATCGTCAGGCATGTCTAACTTTCCAATAATGTCTTGCATTTTTAAGAAACACTTAGAAAACTCAACTAGGCAACCAGTAACACTGCTGCTTGGTACTTCAGGCGAAGTCCGATCTTCAAAACGGTTTCTTCTCGACTTCATCTGAATCGATAGCTGAGCATTTGCGTATACTTGAAGCGAAGGACGACAAACTACAAGTGAGATCAGGTCATTTTTAGATGAATGCCTTCATCGCAAGAGCATTATATTCACCCAGTGATCGGAAGTTATAAAGACATCAGATATACTGTTTTGGGTATACAAATCATCACTTGTCATATTGTAAGTGGTCGATTCCTTAGTGTTTCCCAATGAAAAGATTGAGTGATATTAATAAACATAGTTGCTGTGATGGAGCGCGTGTAGCACAGTGGTCGGAGGCGCCCTGCAACATATACATGGGTTCAATCCTTGCGCCCCTGGCTCACCAAGTCTTCCATCCCTCCAGGGTCGGAAAATTGGTACCAAACTTATCTAGGAGGATAGCAGCACTGGTTCGACACATCGGTAGGCCACCGCGGCTCATTGTAAAGACCAGATATGCATTCAATCACCCCCAGCGATGCTTAATGAAGTCGAATGCTTGGCGCGTACCTCAAGAATTGGTCAACGCCGAGAGCTTTATCCTTTATCCTTTAAGTTATCGATACGATAAGACTTCCTAATGGAAAGACTGGGCAATATTGATAGACATAGTTGCTGTGCTTTCTTTAAAGTCAAGGATTTATAAGCTGATCTAAGTATAGATTAACTCAAGTTTAGAAACCTACAATGTATTTTGCTTTACTGGAAAATTCATTTAAATCGTGGCGATATCTGGTTTGTGTTGCATGCTGTATACAAGTTAGGCTTTACAACATATAAAGTTGGGAATTGATCGTCTCTTATCATTTTCACCCTCGGATTATTCTCTGGCCTTTCAAAATCACTACAAATTATTGGTCGTTTGATTAGTTTTATATTGACGTATATTCGTATATCACTTTTTAGTACCTAAGGATTTGCCATCAGTTTCCTAGTTATTCGTACGAGGTTTTTCCTCATTGCATCGGTGATTATCCTGAGCCTAACACACCTTGTGAGGTTATGATAGGGCGTCGCCAGTTGGTTCTTGTCATTTCGGGAAAAGAGGTATGTGAGTCAAGTTTAATGTTAGTTTATGTCGGTGTTTTTGTGTCTAGGCGTATTGATCTTCTAATTGCTCTCTTATTATAGTTGGCAGTAACTTCGTCGTTATCTTTTTTCTTCATTAGAAGTCATTTTGATATCTGCGTCATTATCAATGATTGTTTTCTTGGCTAACTCAGTAGTTCAGCAGTGACATTCCTCAATTTACCGGATACATATGTTGGGCTAAGAAGCTATAGGTGTTAACTGATCAAATATGTTAAATAAACTTATATTTCGTACTTCAAGTATGATCCTCTCTTCTCTGTAAATCAACGCAATGTAGATTACTGTAACCTCTGAGCTTGAGGAAAAACGTGAGGTCATGTTCCTTATCTTTCGCAACTTGGTCAGATGTTGCTATTAAAACATGGGTTAATTTCGATAGCATTATTGCCATTGGATGGAATCAGTGTTTTCAAATGACAACAAAAACTGAGTGTCTGCTGGACCTGTATGTCAATATTTCAGGGTCGCGAAAACAAATTCGTTGCCATGTTTCCTTTATCTTGTCTTTCTTGAGCGGAATAGTATTTCTTAGCTAACTTTTGTCACTTTTTATTTACCGCGTGTTCTTTTCGATGGCAGGGTATTATTTGAAATCGAACAGCAGTGATACTGAGATATTTGTAGAATTCGGGACCACTGGTGTCTGAAGTGGGGACTGAACACGCTATTAACCTTTCTGGGGACTATTCTACTGCAAAGAAGTGTTAATTTGTTAGTGTTAGTACTATAGTAGAATATCCTATGAAAACTCTTGACGACGAGAAAGAACAATAGTTTTCATGGCAAAACGGAATGATTAGTGACAAAATTGTTCACGGAACCAAACCGCGTAACCTTCGCCTTGTTGTAGAAATCAAGGATAAAGCAGCTTGATATCTGATATAGAACACCGTTTTATCTTTTTTAGTTGGCATTTTAGTTATATGTAGAAGACCTATTTAGCTTTTACAGCCAAAACAACACTATGCTTTTCGTGCTACTCGCATCCATCTTTGGAAAATCTGCGACAGCACAAGTTTTACTGGACAAGGTCCTGTGATATTCCAGTTTGAATATCTTGTAGACAAAAGTTCATTCAAATGGATCACTTTGTGCACTGACCATGTGAGTATTTTTTAAACATTTCCGGTTTATTAATAATCGTTATAATTTGTCATTGAGTACTTGGTGGTGAATTCGAACAGTTTACCGTCTGTCTAGGTCGATATAATATTAAAATGATTTTACATCATAATAAGGATGATCTTGATGGTGCATAACATTAGAAGAGAAGTGCTTATCTTGTCAGCTTTCATTGTACAATTTGAGAAATTCACTAACAGATATGCAAACCATCTTAGGCAGTTCATGGATTCCCAGCACTTCTTCATTGCATTTCCTTTTATTGCTGCCGTTATTCATGAAGGTGGTCACGTTAATGGATAGCGCAAGAAAATTGCGAGCTGGTTCAAGATCTGCTGTCTTCTCTGACTGAGATACTGAATGCTCTTCGAGCATATTTTACCTTCAAATTCCGAGTTAACCGTTCTATAGTATCCTTAGCTGTTGATCTCCGGCAGATTCGGAGACTTACGGATAGGAGGGAAATTTGTAGTTTTGTTTCTGGTTGGTTCTAAAATAACTGCGAATGTTGTTTAGTAGAGTGACTGATCGATCATTAGTGACGTACCAGGCTTAGTGGATTTTTATAAGATTAGCGAAAACAGATCAGCAACACAGCAACTGTCGATATGTTTTGTATAAAATTTGGCTTAGGGGCGGATAGCCCAGTGGCAGTGATGTCCGTCATTACGATCATTATGTTAGTTCGATTCCGCTCCGGCCAAACTAAGCCTCTTATTCCTTCGGGGTCGCGAAATTGCTACCGGACTTGTCCGGGAAAGATCACTCTCTGCAATCAAATTGGGAACGGTCCAGCCCGGCTATCTCTGGACTCCAGGGAAGTTGCTCGACCAGCATTCTACAACGTTCAGGATGAAGTGGAAATCCTCAAGTAGCAACCGAAGCCACGCATGAAAATCAGAAGACCTTCGTGAGCAATGGACGTAAGGAAACGAATCGAATGTGAGAAGTGCTGGAATCCACACAGTAGCCGTAAAGACGGATCAAATAAAATGAAATAAAAAAAGATTTGGCTTAACATCATATACTGTGTAGTTAATTCGTCTACTGTATACCAGTACTATTATCTTCGCTGACTAAATGGTAATATCACCTCCAAATATTTTAGGCCATTCTTATTTCAATGTTGATTCATTCCATAGGTGCCGAAATTCTTCGTGAACGCAGCACCCTAAAGGTTGGTAAAAGAAATAATTTGTTTCTAGATGTATTTTACTCATAACGGTGCCGTATTGATGACAACAGAAAATTGAAAATAATTTCCTACGATTTAAGGGTAGTGGTGGTCGTGCTCTTCAAGTAAAGAGTTGCAGTGCGCAATCAAAAGGGCTTATGACTGCTGCCGATCGCTCTGAGAGCAACTCTGCAACCGTTGAAGCTGAAATACATCATTCCAAAGCCAGCAGCTACGAGACATCGTCCACGTGGAAGGTTGTTAATCACAAGAGTCTCATAAGGGTTTGTTGGAAGACTGTGTGTTCCTTAAGCTTTTTTCCTTATCATGACAATAGTTGCAGGTTGTGCGGACGGGTATTGTCACTCTTGTATCAAATGATAGATTGAACACATCAGGTAGATCGAATCCTCTTGGTATATGCCAACATAGTGACCTATTCACTACAATTACGGTATGTCTAGTATAGTATTTTTAATTATGCAGGTATGTGGGTCTTTTTTGGCGATGTAGGTTGCTGCACAGAGCTTTTTTACCGCACTTATACTCAACCGATAGCTTGTCCAACACATGTTGTAGTAGGCGTTGCTTGTGAAAAGTTTTCTCTTCACTTTAGAATTTACATAGGGAGGACGTAGGACTTATTTGGTAAATATCTTCAATTATGAAGCGGTTCCTGCAACTGTACATCAAAATTCTGCAAATATAACCGCCACTATAGCACATCTTGTCCTTGAGTTCAAATTTTTGCCACCTGGGCGGGATATAGACGTTGTGAGTGACTCTAACCTAGGCTGTAAAATCCAATATTTGATGAGCAAAATTTATTTTGAAAAAATAAATAATTCAATACCGCTACGTCACACGCGCTAGACTAGACTATAAATTGAAATATTGGATAAAAAGAACAACGCTTAAAACCCTCGGTAACGGCAACCATCGAAAAAATTCTTTATTCCCAGTGATAATTGAAAGTTATTGTATGGGGTCAGCGAACAGAGAAAAATAACAGAAAAAAACAAATATACTTCACATGTTATACAAAACCTTAGCAAAGTAATAACGGTATGATAGTCGGCTAGTTGTTTTTTTTTAGATCACATGTAAGAACTAGATGTTCTAAAATCATGGAAAGATAGCTCAAAGAACATGGTGGACAGTAAGGTACACAAACAGAATTACCAATAACGTACAGAAAAATGGGATTGTAGAGAGAACAATACAACAACAGGGCTAGAATCATTCGCTTAGAAGGGGGTTTTGGCCGACATGATCCACGTTTGCTACTCATCACGTGAACAGACGAAAAGTAGGCGTAGTCTTGTGCGGATTCCATACAAAATTGGGCGCCATCACCAATCTTTAGTAAAGACTTGCCAGTTGTCCAAGTATGGTGGTTTCCGAATTTTTGATGGTCGGTTTTGCAATATTTGATAAGCATAATTCTTCATTCGAGTCGAATACCTGGCGCTCCACTCAGAGAGTGATCATAGCCAGGCGCTCTATCCTTATAGTTTTTGATAAATAATGTCACACACCTTAGCTTTACGCCTACGTAATACTAACCTTGATATAAACATCGCTTAGAGTATAGCAGAAATTTCTTAGGAGATGTGTTTCATCGTGTAAAATCACGAGCTGTGGTGTTTTAGGATACGTTGCCTCTAAATGAAGTGTCAGACATCTTAACCGATAATGATCTGTGATCTTCATTGTTGTGATTGCACGACCAGACCAGATCCTTGAAAGGACGATAATCACACGTTTTTTTTGGACATGTAAAAGATGCAGCAGTACTTATTTATTTGCCATATATTTACTAAGTAAACGTTTATTTCTGTGTTGATGTTGAATGAGTTTCTCTGGTGGAAATATCTATTGTTAAAGTATTACTGTATAGTTTAGCTGAAGTGTCGGAGTTCTTTTGCTAAACATTCAAATTCGGCTATATGAAGTATGCTTTCAGTAATTAATATCCTGATGCAAGGGCTATGTTGAATAATTTCATTAGCTCATAATAAAGGGAGGAGTTAATTAGTTCGGAAAGCCCTTCTTCATCTCATCGGTGTACTTCATCTAGTGTTCTCCCAATCCTGTCGAGGATAACTCTTCTATGGAGCTTGTAGACGTGAGAAAGTAGGAAGATTGCTATAGATAGCAGGGAGATTGACCCGATGTGGCAGATCTCGTGTAGTTCTCTTTTTGCGCAATGTTTTCAATAATTGGAAAGTTTCCACTCGGACATGTTTCTTGAAAGAGCTGAACCAGTGTGTTTAAGGGCTAATGGTAGGCTCCTCACATAATCGGAGTGGACTTTAGGTACATATCGTTCACTCGATAGAAACTGACAGAAAGCTGGTTTCAATTTTTGCAATTCTAAATAAACATCTTCAAAAATGGCAAAAATTTACAAACAGAAAAGTAGTTCACAACTCCTTTTCTCATCCTGAACTCACGAAAAGGGAGCGTATGAGAGATCATTGGAACGGCCAATGTTGTGTCCACAGAAATGCGGGGAAGTATAGAATCCCCTAGAAGCCCTAGAACCTGAACTACCCCCTAGAGGACCATATCGAATGGCTATGAAACGGTAGGTACTTGGGTATAGAAGGAAAGTCAACATCGCTCCCTCTCTCGTCCCCATTCGAGCGAGTTTAGTGCATGTAGTTGGCCTAGAGGATTAGGTGACAGTTGCTAAACTGATATTGAATATTGCAATAAGTTCAAAACCGTATTCTGGTTAACACAAAACTATTCAATTTTCCGAAATGGCAGAGTCGATGATTACATGAGTTGGGGTGCAGTTTCACATAATCTCTTGTATATAGCGTGCCGGGCGAAAACATTGGTAGAACGAGCACGAAACTTTCTGTCGGCTTGAGAGAATATCTGGACGGAAAGTAAGGAATCTAAAATGTCAAAATGCAAAACACCAAATAACGTTAGGACAAACTCCAAGGAATCGAAAGTGAACAGCGGGAATGAGTGCAATAATTACTTATGAACTTATTGGATAGTCTAAAATAATCTCAAGGCATCAATTTCCCTTTCCATAGAAATTCTTACTAGGTGGTCCCACTTGGTAAGTAAGTGAATTACACAACAGCGTTTTTAAAAAGCTCTTTAGCGCGCAGGTGGAATCGAGTCTCTGATTCTTTTCCCATCCAGACCGTGAAATTGTTGGTGAAGCGGATTTCGTACTAATCTGATCATCTCGTGATACTGGGATTAAACGCGAACGATTTCTCTGTCCCAAGCTCAAAAAGCCTTCCATCTCTCCGGAGTCGGTAAATTGGTATCAGTCTGGTCTGTGAGTATAGCACCACTGGCTCGGTACATTGGCATGCTACCGCGAGTCATTGTAAAAGCCATTTATGCATTCAATCACTTCTAAGGATGCCGAATGAAGTCAAATACATCTCTCAGATAAAGATCAACGCCGAGGCTTCATCCTTCTTTATTTTATTCGGCTGTATATTTAATCCCTCAGGGATTGATCAACACCGAGAGTTTTATCCTTTTATCCTGATCATCTTTTCTTCTTCAAGGAAAGCTAAATCCGCCATAGTTTTAGCTACTGTGAATGATACGTGGGATTCTTGTAGATGGAAATTCGCCTGGCTGCGTTGTTGGCCGCAGTTGCACTACAGGGCCACAATAGCACGCCTAACGTGACGTTTGAGGAGCATGTCATACCAGTAAATTATCTTTATATCGGCTCGATAACTCCGTGTGGACCACCACCATTAGTTTTAAGTTAGGTTTTCGTTTCGTCAACCTGGGTTTTACTTACAGATTGATTGATAATAAGAGGGTTGCAAACGGTAGTAACTGTCTGTATTGTCTGTGTACTCCCTCTTCCTTTTGCACTGGGTTAACCAACCTGCATAACATTCAGTTTGTTTTTCCTTGAAGACGCAGCAGTCGATGGTGAAGAGGATTTTTGCAGTTACTACTCTTTAGGTTAAAAATTTGCTAGAATAGGGAAGATTTTAGAACATTGGTGATCTCCACAGATTGGTTTTTCATCTTCGGCTTTGTTTGTTGTTTCAACAAACACAAATTTTCCATTGAAATCAATAAACTTTAGCAATCTGTTATGTATAGGCGAGTGTCCAGCGTACTTTTATAGCAGGAATCCTAGTAACTCGTCATGGGAGGAGAGGAGGGAATCCTATTGATCCAGGCATTCTCATTTTGCTTAAGTCTATCCTATTAAGTAACTCAACATCACTTGTATGTCTTTTATATGGTGGTATAAGCCTAGTGGAAGTTTAGTAGACTTTCCCCAACAGAAATTTTTCATCGAAGAAATCCTGGCAATGAAGATGTGAGACAAAGGCGAAACGAAGAACCCGCATCGTGTTTTGGTGAACTCGTTAGCTCCCGGAAGGGGTCATAGCGCGTTCGTTCCCTATCGCAGATACCTACGGTTCGGAGTTTTTCGAATATCTCAGCATTATTATAGAAGCTTTTCCATTCAAAGCTTACATCTTACAGTTATCCTTGGATGCATTGAATTCAAAACTTAAAAAACTTAAGGTCTTAAGACCTTTACGAAGCACAAGATGATAAAAGAATGGCAGTTTTACTCTATTTTATACTTATTTCAAAAATGATGTGGTGAGTGTACAGGGGCTGTGCCCGCAAGAGCTGTAAGCCTTCGTGTTTATGTTATTTCTTGTTCTTGAAACCATTCGTTCCTTTGTTTTCCAGGTTTTATGGAGTTCTTTGTACGTTATGGAGTATTTTAATAAGTTTCGAGCTACTGTTACACAAGTAGCAGCACAGGTATGTTATAGTAATTCAGTGATGAATAGTTCAGCCAAATGTCGTTCTTTGCAGGTTACTAATGCCCTTCCGGGAAATCCGCTATTGCGAGAATATGAAATCGGAGGCCAAATTTGCAGTGCTGGTCCTGGATTTTATTGGAAAGTCTTTAAAGGAGTGAAGAAGTCTACGAAAAAGGTATGTTTTCCTCCTTGAAATTGTGGGAGACAAGCGAAGAGAGTATGGTTTTTATTCGTTTCCATGCGTTTGTCAAGCAGTAAGTGTTTCTATGTATGAAAACTATCTTGTGAATATCCATCTTTTCTATCGTGTTATTTTTTTTTGTTTAAATGTCACTTTTGAAGGTGGTTTCCATATGGCTTCTTGATAAGAAAGATATCGATCGATGGCCGAAGGACGATCGTGAATTATTTCTATCACTTATTAAACATGGTGTATCACAACTGACAAGGCTTCGACATCCACGGCTGCTCGTTGTTGAGCATCCTATAGAGGAATCACGGTTAGTCGATCTTTCTACAGATCTTCAGTTTCTCGTCTCTAGTGTTTTTTCTTTTTTTCCACATTCTTTATGAATTTAAAAGATTGTAACATTCGGTCTTTTACCTTATGTGTTAAAAAGAGTCAGCATCATTTGTTTCTATTGTTGGTTTAAAAATAAGAAGAAGGATGAAAGTAAACTTCGTAGCGTCGGTAAGCGGTTACACTCAATAGTGTTCTGTAGTTCATTGTTCCCTACTCACTTATACATGCATGTATACGTATATAGAGCGCGCGTAGCGCAGCCCTCCATCTCTCCGGAGTCGGCAAATTGGTACCATCCTTGTCTGAGAGGATAGCAGCACTGGCTCGATGCATCGGTAAGTCACCGCGAGTCATTGTAGTGACCATATATGCATTCAATCGCCTCCAAACGATGCTCAATGAACTCAAATGCATCGCGCGCCCTTGAGGGATTGGTTAACGCCAGGAGCTTTATTTTTTTATATATGTATATACATATCCATGTACATGTATGTGCACTTATATCTCCATGTGCTCATACATGTATGCATATATAGATGCACATGTGTGTACGTCTTTCTATACATACGTTTGTTTATATGTATATATATAAATGATATCCAAAACATTGTACTTATAGTGATTCTCTTGCCTTCGCTACCGAGCCAGTGTTTGCATGCCTTGCTAACTGTCTCAGTCGTCGTGAACATGTGTCATTGCCTATTAGCGCACCTCCGAGCGATATCACATTCTCCGATGTTGAGATCAAACATGGTCTTTTACAGGTGATTCTAGTTATTACATTGCTGTTTTAGTTCTGTTAAAAAGTGTTTGATGAAGATTTTTCCAATTGATTCCTAGTTAGGAGAAGCGCTTTCCTTCTTGCACATTGACGCTGGAATACTGCACAGAAATGTGACTCCTGAATCTGTAGTCGTAAATGATAGGGTTAGTTAAACATTTTCAGTAAGTACATAGTTCGAAAATGTCTGTATCGTTTTATCCACAACTACTCATTTACAGGGTGCTTGGAAACTTGCAGGTTTTGAGTTTTCCGTCCAAGGCAGAGCTGTTTCATCAGGAAAGGTCTGTGTGAAATTTCTGTCCATAGATGATTTTTTATAGTCCTGAATGTTCAAATTATTTTCCTTCTCGGAGCAGCTTTATCATTTCAGTTTACTTACGAAACGTTTAGCTGGAGTAGTCGTTTACCAGCGATTTCGCAACCCAATCTGGATTACCTTGCTCCGGAATACGTAGTACGTTATTTCTTGTTTTATCGTTGATTTCGGCTTGAGAATAATTTTCTGTCGTGCCTGTCAATGAATTGGCCCGGCATGCTAATATGATTTCTCATGTTTTAGTGGATTCCACTATTTTCTTTTACAGGTCGCAATTGAATACGCTTTTAGAACAACCCTATGACTTCGAATTAGTGGTCGTATTAGAACGAAGTTTGCCAAAATATTTATTTTATCTCGGATTTCTTCTTTTTTTTTTCTCAGGTCGGCAGTGGATGTGATTCTTTTTCTGACATATACAGTCTGGGAGTTCTATCGTTTGTTGTGTACAATGAGTGTCGGCCACCGTTCGAACACAAGAATGATCTCGCTATCTTCAAAAAGAACGTCGAGAAGGTCAGATAGTGTGTTGTGTGTTTATTGTAATAAATCGAAATTAAAGGAGTCGCGTTTCAGTTGGACAGTTTTCAAGTGCGTACTGAACGTATACCGCCAATTCTCCTCAATGATTTGAAGGTGTGCCTAAAATGTTTGCCGAATCTTCGTCCAGATGCCATACAGTTCACAAAAGTGAGCTTATTTCATCCCGGATACTCCTAGTGATTTGCGTGATGATTGTACCATTTTAGTTTGCTTATTTCAACGATCCACTTGTAAAAACTCTGAATTTATTCGAGTCTTTGATTCAAATGGAAAGTAGTCGAAAGATACACTTTTTCAAATCACTTCCAGGAGTTTTGGTCAGGTTTGAAAAGGTTAGTAGGATTTTAAAGGTAGGAGGGCATTATAAGAAGCATTGGAAGATTTAGAGTCCCTTATGTAAACTGGTAATAAATTTTAGCGTGTGCTGCTGCAGAAGGTCCTGCCATATTTGTCTTGCGAATTCAGTACTCCAGACTTAATACCATTTATATTACCTAGTATTTTCCTGATTATAGAACAGGTCACTAAGCAGGAATTTTCAACTGAAATACTCCCTAAAATCACGCCTTTATTTTCTATGGGCAGACCATACCAGGTGACGTTCTATTACCAAGATCTTTGAGGACCTGCTTCAAGAATTTAATTCTTCAGATTGCTTTATTACTTTTGCAAAAAATGGAGTTACTGTTGGAGAAAGCGTCAGAGGAGCATGTGAAGTGCTACGTTCTACCCCTTGTGTATAATGCTTTATCTAGTGAAACGATGAGAATTCGGGTGTGGGTTTGTTTTCTGGTGTATCTTCTTTACTTTCATCTTTTCTGTTCTTTAAGGAATTATGCATATCCATTGTGCCAAATATTAGTAAATTGGTTGATAGAAACTCGATGAAAACGGAGCTGTTACCCAAACTCTTACAATTGGCCATAGATGGAAGTATGCTTGCTGTAAGTTATTTATTCAGTTTCCTTTCTGCTTTCTTCTCTTTCTGGGTGATAATTTGCTTTTGCGGATGTCAATTGGTGAATAGAAGTGTTCTGCTCATGAGAATGTATGTGCATTAAGCAGAACAATGGAAATGACAAAGACTTGTCGAAACTGTTATTAACTCTTACTGAATATTATTTGGTACTCTTAATATTTTATCTCATGATATTTATGTAGACACTTACTTACTTGGATACTTTAATGGCTCGTGTTCACTGATTGTGCGAACGTTAGCGTAATTTATACTTTTTCGGAGTTTTGCTGGTTTAGCCACTGTGGTTCCCTGGTGTCCCGGAGTCAGCCTTACCATCACTGCTCTTGTGGATCATAGCGAGATTTGCCACCGTATGACTACTTTGATACCAGGATGGTGGTGGATCCTCGTATTGGTTTGCTCTTAGCTAGGCTTTCTGATTGGAGCGGCACGCTCCTTCTCAGCTTAGGAGGCCCTGCCGTGAAGGGTGAGTCTCTCCGCTGTACATCGCAACCCGACACCCGTGAATACCTTCTAGCCACAATGAGGATTAAACCGTTGGGAGGTTGATGTGTATTGCGCCTTTCGACGTTCAAAGCGAAATGTGAGTATCGTGCATTTGTGTAGATAGCTTAGAAAATAGGAGTTTGTCGTCTGATGTAACAATTGGCCCTCTATATTCGATCTAACAGTGTCGTACTAGGTACTTCTCTCGTCTATTACACCGATCTGCCATGTTGAATGATTCTGGGAATTTGTTACTACCGCTAAATCGTAGCAAAATTTGAGCTACGTTAACTGCCACGACCGACTTTCTATTAACCTCGGCATCGATCAAGTGATTTTCTTCGTATTTTTGTTGAGCAAACGCGAGGTGTTACTATTCTTTGTTCACGATTAAGCTGACGTTTC